AATACAATACCATGACCTAACCTTCAGAATAGCTAAAATGAAAAGAAAAGAAAATGCCAGGCTGGGCGAGGTGGCTCACACCTGTAATCCCAGCACTTTGGGAGGCCAAGATGAGCGGATCGCCTGAAGTCAGGAGTTCAAAACCTGCCTGACCAACATGGTCTCTGCCAAAAAATACAAAACTGGCTGGGTGAGGTGGTACATTCCTATAGTCCCAGCTACCGGGGAGGCTGAGGTTGGAGAATCACTTGAACCTGGGAGGCGAAGGTTGCAGTGAGCCAAGATCACACGACTGCACTCCAGCCTGGGCAACAGAGCAAAACTCTGTCTCAAAAAAAAAGAAAAAGAAAAAAGAAAAAAAAAGAAAATGCCCAGATTGATAAGGATAGGGAGTAACCTACACTCATGCACTGCAGGTGGGGATGTAAATTGGCACAGCTACTATGGAAAACTGTATGGCAGCACCTACTAAAGCTGAACATATGTATATCTATCACCCAGCAATTCCACTCATAAGGATGTACAAACCCCCTTCAAAAAATAGCAAGACCTCATCTCTAAGAAATAAAATAAAACCCCTTCCTATCTAAAGGGGATTGGGAGTTTCACATGGTCAAAATTTGCCAGCAAAATATGCCGAACAAAGTACTTTGTAAAAAGTAGATGAATTATTGCCCTAGTCCTTGCATTCAAAATGGTTATTTACAAAAGCATCGTAGTTGCTAAGCAACTTAAAGCAGTGCACTACATGTCAAATGACATCTTTAATAGGTGTATAGTAAATACACACGTTCATAGTCACATTTATCATAGATATGATTACAAAATCAATTTAAAGTGGAGAGAAAGAAAATACACTTTGAATTAATAATTAATAGTCATCTCAGGCATTTGATTAATTATTATTAAAAATGTAACTAACTCCGGGCATAATTATTTAGGAGAGAATTCGGGTCTTCTTAGAACACATTCTAAACTGATATTGTTGGTCTCTAAGGAGTAAATGTGCTCACAGCTAAGTTAGGTGTTCAATATTATGAATCAATATTAATTTTAAACTTGGGCTGAAGAGAGAACAAAAAATGGGCTAGTGCACAGCTACGTAACCATTCTCTCGCCTGTTATGCAGACAACTCCAAGTTACCTAATTTTTTTTTTTCTTTCAGACAGAGTCTCACTCTGTTGCCCAGACTGGTGTGCAGTGGCATGATCTTGGCTCACTGAAACCTCTGCCTCCTGGGTTCAAGAGATTCACCTGCCTCAGTCTCCTGAGTAGCTGGGATTACAGGTGTGCACCACCACGCCTGGCTAATTTTTGTATTTTTATTAGAGACGGGGTTTCACCATGTTGGCCAGGCTTGTCTTGAACTCCTAACTTAAAGTGATCCACCCGCCTTGGCCTACCAAAGTGCCGGGATTACGGATGTGAGCCACTGTGCCCAGCCCCAAGTTGCCTAATTAGGTGTTACTGAAATGGAAGACCAAGCAGGAAGCTGGTGGCTCAAAAGATGGGGCTTGTTCTTCATGTCCATGGTGCTCACTAGTAGAAGGTTCAGGCAAGTGCTTATCTTTATTTGAAGAGGATAATGGCTAATATCAAGGCCAGGAAAGTACAGCCACTTGCATAGGTCCCAGCCTCCAGGCACATAGCAATGTTAGACCAGGCCTCACCTGACAATCTATGCCTTCCCCAATCTGCAGCAGTTCTGTGTCTCTAAGTTTCCTTCTGGACTTAAGCCGGCCCCTTTGGGTCTCCACACACAGAGGGCCTGCTAAAAACCTTTCCACTAAGCTTCTAAGAGCTCCAGAAAGAAATCACTGGAGGCCGGGCGCGGTGGCTCATGCCTGTAAGCCCAGCACTCTGGGAGACCAAGGTGGGCAGTCACCTAAGGTCAGGGGTTCGAGACCAGCCTGGCCAACATGGCAAAACCCTGCCTCTACTAAAAATACAAAAATTAGCTGTGCATGGTGACACATCCCTATAATCCCAGCTACTTGGGAGACTGAGGCAGGAGAATCGCTTGAACCCAGGAGGCGGAGGTTGCAGTGAGCCGAGATTGTGTCACTGCACTCCAGCCTGGACGACGAGTGAGACTCTATCTTAAAAAAAAAAAAATCACTGGAGCCTTCCACCAAACCCTCATCCCCAAAGCTGGCTGGCCACTGCATTCCACCAGTGCTCAGACGACACAGCGCAGCTGCGCCCTAAGCCCAGAGGAGAATTTCAAAACAGGAGAGCTCACAACAGCCACTGCTCCTGTGTAAAATGTTACAAGAGATGACAAGGAGGTCTGGAAAATCTGAGATCTGAGCCACAGACCAGGCAGCTGGCTCTTAGCCTGGCTCCTCCCAGTCCGGGGTAGGCTTCGCGGGATCCCAGCCCTTCCAGCTATTGGTGACGGTGGAAACACCAAACAAAAGAGAGCTGGCTTTTCAGGAGGTGCAAGTAGGGTCCTTTAGGATAGTGGTCCCTAATGGTCCCCAACCTTTTGGCACCAGAGACTGGTTTTGTGGAAGACAGTTTGTCCACGGGATGGGGCGGGGAAGGGGGAGGGGAGATTGAAGGGAAGGGATGATTTGGGGATGAAACTGTTCCACTTCATATCAGGCATTGGATTCTCATAAGGAGCCTGCAGCCTAGATCCCTGGCCCGCGCAGTTCCCAAAAGGGTTTGTGCTCCTTGGAGAATCAATGCCGCTACTGATTCAACAGGAGATGGAGCTCAGGCGGTAATGCTCGCCCGCCCGCCACTCGCTGGCCTGCTGTGTGGCCTCGTTCCTAACAGGGCATGACGGGTGCTGGTCCACAGCCCAGGGGTTGGGGACCCCTGCTTTAGGAGTTCTGAACACCTACGTGTTTGAGTATTACTGGGAAGATATGATGCCAATATATTGGATTTTTTTCCTTATACAAATTGATCCTCCACCCTTGCCAGACCCTTCCCATTCATTTCCTTTGGAAACAGTCTACCTTATCGCCTCTACACTGTTACCCAGTTGTGTACTCAGGGATCCCAGTTTACTAGACCCCTTTGTCAAGCTCAGGGAACACTGGCAAAGAATGGAAGGAAAGGGCCAGAACTGCAGAGGTTTTATGATGCAGGCAGTGGCCAAGGTCTGGGACGTGAAACTTGCCCGGGGTGCCCATGACTTCAGGAAAATCTTGAAGGTGGCTCGGCAGAGCACTCACCTTCATTCCAGTATAGCTCAGGAGAGCCCTTCTCCTGATGAGCTCTGGGCAGGCCCTGTCCTTCCCTGCTCCCTCACCCTTTTACCCTTCCTCACTGGTGTAGGCAGATGTCCCAATTCGTCCGCAACCAAGGCAGGGACAATGGGCTGAGCTGATTCATTTAGGAACAGTAATTCTTCCCAGAGAAGATCCCCCATTCATTTAGACACTGAAGCAATTATTTGCGGGCTGACACTTGTAATTACCTTTTACTGCAGGTAGGTAACTGTTCCAGGCTAATAGGATTACTGGTTTCTGAAGGGCTTTTGGAACAAGCAATTTTCAAATAGTCAGCACAGCATGTTCAATGAACTTTCCACCCAGGGCAAATTCCTTCCTCTGTGGCTCCTCATGACAGGCAAGGTGTGGATTCCTGGATGGGGGGCACTTTGGAACTGCAGGCGCATTTTTCTTCCATGCTCCTTTGTTTATAAATGGGACCTGAGCAAATTATGCTTGGTTATATTTCGTGGGCTTGCATGTAATTATTCTAAAATTTTCAACTGTTCTGGAAGTTGGCATTAAATTATATCAACCAACCAATCTTCTTAGCAATGGCAGGGAAAATCACTTTCCCAGTTATGGTACCTCATGGTTACTCCTCCCTCTATACCACACATTTCTGAGGGGAAGTTAAAAAAAAAAATCCAGGCTGAATGTGGTGGCTCACACCTGTAATCCCAGCACTTTGGGAGGCTGAAGCAGGAGGATCACTTGAGCCCAGGAGTTTGAGACCAGCCTGGGCAACATGGTGAAACCCTATCTCAATGAAAGTACAAAAATTAGCCAGACATGGTGGTGTGCACCTGTATCCCAGCTACTCAGCTACACTGAGGTGAGAAGATTGGCCTGAGCCCTGGAGATCGAGGCTGCAGTGACCTGTGATTGTACCACTGCACTCCAGCCTGGGTGACAGAGTCAGACCCTGTCTAAAAAAAACAAAAACAAAAACAAAAAAACAGGCCTTTTAGTCAAGGTTTTTTGTTTGTTTATTTGTTTGTTTTTTTGAGACGGAGTCTCCCTCTGTCACCCAGGCTGGAGTGCAGTGGTGCAATCTCAGCTCACTGCAACCTCCACCTCCCAGGTTCAAGCGATTCTCCTGCCTCAGCCTCCTGAGTAGTTGGGATTACAGGTGTGTGCCACCATGCCTGGCTAATTTTTTTTTTTTTTTAGATGAAGTCTGGTTCTGTCACCCAGGCTGGAGTGCAGTGGTTCAATCTTGGCACACTGCAACCTCCACCTCCCGGGTTCAAGCAATTCTCCTGCCTCAGCCTCCTAAGTAGCTAGGATTACAGGCGTGCACCACCAAGTCCAGTTAATTTTTGTATTTTTAGTAGAGATGGAGTTTCACCATGTTGGCCAGGCTGGCATCGAAATCCTGACCTCAAGTCATCTGCCCACCTTGGCCTCCCAAAGTGCTGGGATTATAGGCATGAGCCACTGCACCCAGCCTGAGTCAAGGTTTCTAACAAGATAATCAACTGTTGTAGACTGTAAATAATGATTTTACAACAAGGTTCTCTATTTGATGAGAAAAAGTCCATTTGAATGCTTGTCAATATTTGATCCTATCAGTTGGTTTGACATTTAGCAGTTTAAAAAGCACATCCACAGTCTGTTGGAAAGACAGTGTTTCTTGCTGAGAAGGCTTCTGAGGTATTTGGTGGTGGTGGTGGTTGTTCTTGCTTACTGAAACATTCCCAGCAACTCCACTGTCCATCTATTAGTTAGACAAACTCTGAGGGGGTCATAACCTTTCTCTTTGTTTGCAGGAACCATCCTGCCACCTGCCCTGAAGAGGCTGCAAAATGGCCAGGAGGAGATTGGGAGAATTTAATCCTTGCACCTCAAGAAGAAACAGTTCTACTTTTAAATAGAAGAGGACAGTGAGTAGCTGAGAATCCAGGGAGCGTGAACCATGTAGACTGCCAATTTGGAGAGTAGTTTTTAGACTTCTAGACATAGTCAATGCCTAGAACTTGTAAAGAAATTCTGTTATCAGTAATATGTACTCTCGATTTGGTTTGTTGGTATGCAAACTCATTCAAGTCTGGGATCTGCAGAGAAGGAATTGTAATCCCACAACAAATGTCATTTGCAGCCCTTAGAAATAAAAAAAATACTCATGTATTGTTAGGAAAATTGAGAGTATGCTACATAGCAATCTCCAAAGCCTGAAAAATGCTTAGCTGAAGATCTGATTTTATTTATTTTTTTGAGATGGGGACTCACACTGTCACCCAGGCTGGAGTGCAGTGGTGCAATTAAAACTCATTACAGCCTCAAACTCCTAGGCTCAAGCAAACCTCCTCAGCCTCTCCGGTAGCTAGGACCACAGGCACATGTCACTGTACCTGGCTAATATTTTATTTTATTTTTTTGTAGAGATGGAGTCTCACCATGTTGCCCAGGAGGGCCTCAAACTCCTGGGCTCAAGCGATCCTCCCACCTTGGCCTCCCAAAGTGCTGGGATTACAGGTGTGAGCCACCGTGCCCAGACTGAAAACCTGAAAACAGTTTTAAAATTTTCTTTTACTATTTAAAATTATAAAAACCTTTAGTATTACCACAACCTTTGCAAATCATTCTGTTGGGGGCAACTAAAGTCATCCTCAACTGTGAGCCCCCAGCTCTACAGTATCAGGGGAGTAGTTTGCAAATTGAGAGCATGTAAGTAAAAGTACAAGTTTGGAATCAGACAGAATTGGGTTCAAATCACACTCTAACACTTCAAACCTGTGCAGAATCATTATCTACCTCACAAGGGTGGAGACAATGAGATCACACATGTGAAGTACTTAGTACTATGCCTTGTGCATAGTAAATGCTCAAACTGTGATTAACACATTACTTATACTGAAGAGTCATGCTTCCTTTATGACATATGCCATTAACATTTCTGAATGACGCGCACACCATTTGCTAGCCAAGCCTCCTTTATGGCAGATCTAACCTACTGGGATTGAGAAAGTTTCTAAGGTGCCTGTGACACCTATGCCATCATAAAATGTCAGTCCAGGCTTTGGTCCCAAAGGGCCACTGCACCTGCATCACCAATGCTTGTTTAAAAAACTGGTCTTAGCTGGGTGTGGTGGCTCACGCCTGTAATCCCAACACTTTGGGAAGCCAAGGCGGGAGGATCACTTGAACCTAGGAGTTCGAGACCAGCCTGGGCAACATGGCAGAACCCCGTCTCTACTAAGAATACAAAAAATTAGCCGGGCACGGTGGCAGGCGCCTGTAATCTCAGCTACTCGGGAGGCTGAGGCAGGAGAATTGCTTGAACCTGGGAGGCAGAGGCTGCAGTGAGCTGAGATCACACCACTGCATCCCAGCCTGGATAAAAAAGCGAGACTCCATTAAAAAAAAAAGAAGAAGAAAAAAAAAAAGCTGGTCTTGGCTGGGCATGGTGACTCATGCTTATAATCCCAGCACTTGGGAAAGCAAAGATGGGAGGATTAATTGAGCCTGGGAGGTTGAGGCTGCAGTGAGCCGTGATTGTGCCACTGCACTCCAGCCTGGGTGACAGAGCAAGACACTGTCTCAAAAAAATAAAATTAAATTAAAAAGCTGGTTTCTGCCTGGTGCCATGGCCCATGCCTGTAATCCCACTCTTTGGGAGGCTGAGGTGGGAGGATCACTTGAGATCAGGAGTTCGAAACAAGTCTGGCCAACATGGTGAAGCCCCATCTCTACTAAAAATACAAAAATTAGCCGGGCATGATGGCAGGTGGCTGTAATCCCAGCTACTCTGGAGGTTGAGCCAGGAGGCAGAGGCTGCAGTGAACCGAGATCGTGCCACTGCGCTCCAGCCTGGGCAACAGAGTGAGACTCCATCAAAAAAAAAAAAAAAAAAAAGCTGGCCGGGCGCGGTGGCTCAAGCCTGTAATCCCAGCACTTTGGGAGGCCGAGACGGGCGGATCACGAGGTCAGGAGATCGAGACCATCCTGGCTAACACGGTGAAACCCCGTCTCTACTAAAAAAAATACAAAAAACTAGCCGGGCGAGGTGGTGGGCGCCTGTAGTCCCAGCTACTCGGGAGGCTGAGGCAGGAGAATGGCGTGAACCCAGGAGGCGGAGCTTGCAGTGAGCTGAGATCCGGCCACTGCACTCCAGCCTGGGCGACAGAGCGAGACTCCGTCTCAAAAAACAAACAAACAAAAAAAAAAAAAAAAGCTGGACGGGCGAGGCTGTGCTGCAGTAACAGACACACACTAAAAACGCAGCAGTTTAACACTGAAAAGTTTGTCTGTCCCTCATGTAAAATCCACTTTGGGTTTGAGAATCCTGCAGGGAACCTGTCAAGCAGGGGTTTGGAGCACGCTATTTCTTTTTCGTGGCTCCACCACCTGGAGACAAGTTCCCTTACTGCTGCTCTGGTGGAGAAGAAGAGAGTGGAAGCCCCTTCCACGTTTACTCACAAGCTGGTGGCTGGAACTTGTTCCAGGAGCCCGCTCAGTGCCAGGGGCTGAGTAGGAGTGAGGGGTTGGGAGCGGGGAGGCTGGGATATCTGATGAGCGTTGAATGTCTCTGCCTCATCTACTGAATCAGAATCTCTCAGGGGTGGGATCCAGGACTCTATTTTCAAACTTCCCAGCTGATTATAATGTAAAGTTAGTCATTACAGTTGCTGTGATTAACTATTACTGGGACTTTTCCTTTATGGGATGAATAATTTGAAATAGTGGAAATGAAAGAACAGTTCTAGGCTGGGCCCGGTGGCTCATGTCTGTAATCCCTGCACTTTGGGAGGCCAAGACAGGCAGATCACTTCAGGTCTGGAGTTCAAGACCAGCCTGGTCAACATGGGGAAACCCCGTCTCTACTAAAAATACAAAATTTAGCCGGGCACAGTGGCGGGCGCCTGTAATCCCAGCTACTCGGGAGGCTGAGGCAGGAGAATTGCTTGAACCCAGGAGGCAGAGGTTGCAGTGAGCCAAGATCATGCCACAGCACTCCAGCCTGGACGACCGAATGAGACTCCATCTCAAAAAAATAAAAAATAAAAAATAAGGCTGGGTGTGGTGGCTCAAGCCTGTAATCCCAGCACTTTGGGAGGCCGAGACGGGCGGATCACAAGGTCAGGAGATCAAGACCATCCTGGCTAACCTGGTGAAACCCCGTCTCTACTAAAAAAATACAAAAAAAAAAACTAGCCGGGCAAGGTGGCGGGCGCCTGTAGTCCCAGCTACTCGGGAGGCTGAGGCAGGGAATGGCGTAAACCTGGGAGGCGGAGCTTGCAGTGAGCTGAGATCCGGCCACTGCACTCTAGCCTGGGCGACAGAGCGAGACTCCGTCTCAAAACAAAAACAAAAACAAAAAATAAATAAATAAATAAAAAATAAAAGAGTAGTTCTGTGAATATAATAATTGAGAGTCTAAGTGTTGGGCTTAGACTAAACTAAGCACTGGGCTCTTTCCTAGCTGTCATTGGTGTGTAGCTCTTAGATACAGATGCCTCCCAAATCTGTGTTTCTGGCCCAGACTCTCCCTGACTTCAGGCCTATACACACTGAGGGTCTCACAGGTGCTTCAAACTCAGTTTGTTCGTCTCTACCAAACCTGTTCCCGTGTCCAGGGACAGTAGCAATATCCATACTCCTAGGGGACTTCTAAGGCTTCCCAACTTAGGAGTCTTCCTTGTTTTTTGTTTGTTTTGTTTTGTTTTTTTGAGACAGCATCTTGCTATATTGCCCAGGTTGGAGTGCAGTGGTGTGATCTTGGTTCACTGCAGCTTCTAACTCCCAGGCTCACATGATCCTCCTGCCTCAGCCTCTTGGGTAGCTGGAACCACAGGTACTCAACACCATGCCTAGCTAATTTTTTTTTTAATTTTTTGTAGAGACAGAGTCTCGCCATATTGCCCTGGCTGGCTCGTGGGCTCAAGCAGTCCACCCTCCTCGGCCTCCTAAAGTGCTGGGATTACAGGTGTGAGTCACCATGCCCGGTCACCTCTTATTTCTTTTACTCCTCAAATCCAGGCAAGACATGTTCCTATGTCTTTACCTTATACAGCATCTCTTCCCTTCTCTCTCCCTCCACTGCTGCCCCTTAGTCCAGGGTCCTGTCATCAGTCACCTTGTCCTCCTGCCTAGTCCAGCTTCTCCCTCTTCTTCCTCCCACATCGCTGTCAGGATATCATCATTCTTTTGCACAATAAGCGTCTCCTCATCTTTTACACGACTCCTCTCGCTGAGATGCATTTTTTGATCTTATTCTTTTTCCCTGAACTGTTCCCCAACATACTAGTCTCACGCACCTGTAGTTTGCACTCATGTGTATATGTCTTTCCCTCTGCTAGAGTGCAAGCCCCATGAGGGCAGATGGCATGTTCGTCTCTCTCAACATGGTATCCTCGGAGTCTAACATAGCACTCAGTACTCAGTAGGTGTGAGATAAGAAAGGAATGAGTTAGGGTATTGTAGGTGCCATATAATAGTCTATTGAATGAAAAAATAAGTGAATATCTCAAATATTCATTAAAGGATTTCACCAAACTCAAAATAATAAATTAATTTAAATTGACTACTTGAGCTGGGCACATGCCTATAATCCCAGCACGTTGAAAGGCTGAGGCTAGTGGATCACTTGAGGTCAGGAATTTGAGAAAGAGAGAGATATATATATTTGTTATATATATATATTAAAAATATATATATTATATATATATTAAAAATATATTTTTAATATATATAAAATAAAATTGACTACTCATCTATATGAGTTTGGCCATTTTTTTTCCCTTTTTATTTTTATTTTTTTTATTTTTTGAGACTGAGTTCTGCTCTTGTCACCGAGGCTGGAGTGCAATGGCATGATCTCGGCTCACTGCGACCCCTGCCTCCCGGGTTCAAGCGATTCCCCTGCCTCAGCCTCCCAAGTAGCTGGGACTACAGGCGTGCGCCATTACACTTGGCTAATTTTTTTTTGTATTTTTAGTAGAGACAGGGTTTCACCATTTTGGCCAGGCTGGTCTCAAACTCCTGACCTCAGGTGATCTGCCCGCCTCAGCCTCTCAAAGTGCTGGGATTACAGGCGTGAGCCACCATGCCTGGCTAGCCATTTTCCTTTAGAGGACTTGATAATGAAATCCGTCTTCATTGGAAACCGTGTTCTGCAGCTATGATTGAAGACAC